TGTGTGTGTGTGTGTGTGTGTGTTTGTCTGTGTGTGTTCTGTGCACCCCTTTAGTGTTACGGACTCAGCCAGGGTTCGATCCCTGGTCCGCGGGTTACCACCCGCCAGGCTGCTATTTCATTTTTGAATCTCTGATCTCCGGTTCCTGACTGTTGGCGTCCTCTGCAGTTGGTGCCCGTTCAAATCCTCCCTCTGGCACTTTCGGATTTCGATACTTGGCGCCATCCGACATTCTGGCGCCCAGGCGCAGACCTTCGATTTTCAGTTTAGCCCCGAGGCAAATTGCACTTCTGCCCTCGGGACTCAACTTGAGTCTGGTACTTAAGACCGGACTCAAGCTGAGTTCGGGCATTCAATTTTCGGCCTCAGTACTTGTGCTTCAGTGTGACTTGCTGCGACATTGTGTTCGGAATCCAAGATTGCAACTTTGCCACTTTGCCACTTTGTGTCTGCGTCCGTCAAGTCGTGTCAAGTCTGTGTCGAGTTGAGTGAGTGTGTGTGTGCGCTCTCACTCCCTGCCACTCTCTTCCCCGACCTCGCTGCCCTGCCTCAGCCTCGTCACATCTAGCCCTTTTTGTTTCCCTCCGTGCCATGTCTACTGCTGCTCCGTCTGTTCCTGCATCAGGTAGCCCATCTCACATTATGCCCTTTTACTGACACCTCCTCACCCTGCAACTCTCTTGAGAACACCTTTGGTTAGGCCATCCACTGTTGGGATGTGTGGCTGTGAGACGTGTGGGATGAGTGTGGTGTCGTGGAGCAATCCGTGCTGGGGTGGGATGAGTGGAGGGCCATTCTTTAGGGCCATTGGGGACCTATTGGTCTCACTACCTTCCAACAAAATCTATTTGAAATTAGCCGAAAGACAGTGTTGTGGACTCTCTGGTACAAGAGGTAAATTTGGATGGAATAGGAATTGCAGAAATACTAGTACAATTTGTGCAAACTGAACTGCGGGCACGCTGGTCAACTACTAAGATCAAACTCATTAAAAAGTAAATACAACAGTTACTTGATGGGCTGGTGATTGGGGTATTTTATTATTTGTTTGAAATTATTCAAGTTGACTGATGATCTCGAGATGTCAAATGGGACGGACGTCCGCTGTTCCAGAAAGGCAGATCAGATTGAGATGTGTGTTCAGTGTTCGCTGTTCAGCCTTTGATATCATCATCCTCCGTCTTCCACGCCGTTCTTTGTTGTCTTGTTTCCATTTTATTTTTTTTTTCTTTGCGCCTTGTTCGTCTTATGGCATGACAATTTTGCTCGGCATTGCCATGTGTCGTCTTGTGATCGATGGCCCTTCAGGAAGTCAAGTACCGCAGAGTACTAAAGCAAGACCAGTACCGCCAGAAAGTTGAAACTGAGCAGGCAGCAAAATGGCGTTTTCTCTGGCTCTCGGGGACGTTCGACATCGCACTCGAGATCACTGAAGACAAGCGTGATCGGCAAGTGAGTTCCCCTTCTGATCCATAGCCCAACCGCATGCGCATTGCAACCCGCATTGCATAAACCAGATTCTCTAACCCATGGTCCAAACCGTAGTCCAAGGCACAATCATCCACTGCCATGGCTCCAGTTTCACTCGACAGTTGTCATGTGACTTCCTTTTAAAAAAAAAAAAAAAAAACAGTCTCCACTGCTCCAGTCTATTCCTGGGGAGCAGCACGTGCTGAGAACCGGGCTCAAAAATCATAGGAAAAAAAAAAAAACAAAAAAAAAAAAAACATGAGATGAGTTGAGAGAGAACACAGGTGCTGCTGGAAACGGGGTCCAGTGTCCCATCACTGTCTGTCCTGCATTGCTAAAAATGATGCCCAAGGCCAGGGCCCAGCCAGGGTCCCTGTCTGTTCCCGGGCCCAGACCCGCCTTCCAAAAAGCACTAACTACACTACCTGCTGTTGCTGTTGGCATGTGAGTTCCAGTTCTTTCTTTTGTCTTTTGTAAAGTTTTTTTTTCAAAGAGGCATTTAATCTGACTGGAGCAGTAGCTGAACTGTTGAAGTTTATTGAACTCATGATCTGTATTCTGATAGTCCAACTTTTTTTTGACTTTTTGTTCCTCCGATTTTTCTTCAACGACCTTGAGATCTCGTTGAAGGACTGACTGGCCCTAGGTAATTGAGAAACGCGGTATTTTATTCATCTGCTGTCAGTGGAGTTTGAACTCAGGTCTGTATTTCGACAATTCATACAAGGTGGGGTGTAGCAACTGAGCTAGGTCAGCTGGTAATCCAACTTAATGGACAGCCACATGTATGTATCATTGAGTCACACGGCAGGTGCATGTGAGTGCCCCTTCTGATCCATGGTCCATCACACTACAACCCATAAGGCATAGACCAGAGTATAATCCATGGTCCAGAACACAACAGTCCAAGGAACACTCTCTAAAGTACACTGGCATTGTTTTGTCCAACGGTTGGCATGTGACTTCACCGTGTGATCCACCGGCCCATCACCTTCCAACCAGAGTCTAATCCATGGTCCACAACGTAGTCCCAGGTCCAACCAGAGTCTCCCAGGAACTACAGATTCTCCATGGAATTCCAACTCCCAACTGCCATCCACAGAACGCAGTACACCTGCAGCGGCATTACTCCATCGTAGAACTGGATCATAATTGAATCCAAATCGGATCCAGAGATATAACTCAAACTTAACAATGTAGCAGAGGTTTAATCTCGATTCTCGAAGCGTAACCACATTGTCGAAAGGCATGACACACTCATGCCACACAGACCTTCCGCTCCTACGCAACTCGAAGCAAGTCTGTTTTTTTTTTTTTGGAGGGGGGGGGGGTCACAACCAATCCCAAATCAGCACACAAAGGCATGCAGCGGGTTAGGGATAATGCTCAAACCAAGATCGGCGCGTTTGCACCCTTTGTTATGATCCGACGTCATAGGTAATGAACAACTCAAAAATGTGAGCAAATGCAAGACTTGCTGAGCTCAAAAGAAGAATTGGAACGAGAAAAAGAGCGGAAGAGAATGACGAGGATAGAAGAAGAACAACAACAATTACACAAGTCGGAACCCACAACTTCCACAAGTGAATGAATAGGAATCTCCCCGAGTATTCTCCCTTACTGCCACCACTCAGAGAGCTCCCTTTTCTGCCTCACTCTCATTCCTCACTTCTTCGCTGCATATCTAGCGATGGCGGCTCGTCTGTGGCCAACGCGGGTGTCCAAGAGGACAATGCAACACTACTGTGCCTCTCCCATCTCATTCCACCATAGCCACACTCTGTCAGTGAGATGAAGTCCAAGAGCAGCCAGTACTCGCACAGCGCCAACCAAGACGTGGAGATGAATTGTCTGGCATAGCCAAACGTTAGTCTCCCATGTTGGTTCCTTCCTCTCTCTCTCTCTCTCTCTCTCTCTCTCTCTCTCTCTCTCTCTCTCTCTCTCTCTCTCTCTCTCTCTCTCTCTCTCTCTCTCTCTCTC